CAAGTGAGAGTCCTTCATGCCTCGTACAGAGCTGCGTCCCAGCAGGTGGGTATTTGCACTGATTTCTCAAACTCTCATAGCTCACAGCTGAGTCAGAGCTGTGACATGCTTTGCCACCCTGCTCCTGGCTCCAGGTTCTCCACCCGATCCCTGCGCTCCCCAGATGTTCTAGGTCACATCTCAGGGCTCACACATCATCGCTCTATGCACACAAGGTGTGGCCAGAACCTGCTGATGGCCTGTCCCCAGCACAGTCACCTGCCTCCGCCCAGGAGGGCCCCACATTGAAGGACCTGCTTACCTGGTCACTGCTGACATCTTTTCTCTTACCTCCTTCTGTGGGTTATCCATTCATTCATGCATCTGTCCTTCCTCCCACCCATCCATTTACCCATCACTTCTCCATCCATCCATTCATACATTTACCTAGCCATCTCCGTTCACACATCCATCTTTCATCCATTCACCTATTCATCCATCTGTCCATCCATCCATCCATCCATTTGTCCATCCATCGATCCATCATCCATCCATCTACCCATCTGTCCATCCATCCATCCATCCATTTGTCCACCTTCTGCGCATTTGCCCACCCACTGACCTCTATTCATTCACCTGCCTGTCCATCCATCCATTCATCTCCACTGTGCCCCTTCTCTGGCCTTGCACAGTGCTAAGCTCTGGGAAGAGATGGACAGATGGCAATGGCTTGGTCCTCCTCCCGCTATGGTGTGTTTGTTTAAGAAAATGCAAGTATGCTAGTGTGGTGGGAGGCAGGGCGCTGGGTCTGGGGGTTAAGGCATGAGGCTGGAGAGGTCTGCAGGGGTCAGGCATGGTCAGGTGGAAGAGACAAATGTGCAGAGATGGACATGAGAACTTTGCACTGTCATAGTTCAGAAGGGAGGAAATGGGGCCCAGCTGTCCAGGGAGGGATGGTGGGGTTTGTAGGAGTGCCGGAGTGGACGAGAAAGGGGCCCTGGCGGGACGTGGACTGGATTTACTGACGGGTGGAATCAGGAGGGGTTGTAGTCTGGGAAAGGAATGACCTTCCAGATGGCTCTGAGGCTTCTGAGGCACTGGTTACCACCTGCCTAAGTGGGGAAGACCAGGGTTCAAGTCCCAGGTCTGCCACTCCCTAGCTTTGGGTAAGTCAGCTGTCTAGGTCAAGAATCTTGCCAAGGGATGATGATAGCGCACACGAAGAATCAAACAACCTGCCAGGATGCCTGGCACCTGCGAGGCACTAAATGAACGCCTGGCTCACCATCCATGTCTTCCTTCACACCAGCGACCCTGGTCCCTTGAAGACCCTGCTGCGGTGGCCTTCTAGCATCCCTGACTGTGAAATGGGAAAACCAGTGCTGGCGCCTGCTGCGTGCTCAGTTCACGGCAGAGCCCGTGTTGGTGGCAGCCCCGTCCCTCCACTCGGCCGCCCTTCAGCCTGCATCTTGTAGACCTCCTTCCATGTCTGGCCAGCGCCTGGCATCCCACGCCCACACCACCACACCTCCCCCTCCCCCACGGGCCGAGGGCCTTTACTCAGCAGCTGCCCTGCCTCTGCGAACCCCG